CTCCAGGCTGCTGCCATAGAGATCAGGATGAAGATGGGTCTGCTCAGTGGGGAGGCAGGATGCTTAGTCTACTCCCAACCAAGTAGAACACCTGGCCTGGGCCGGTGAGCCTCGGGGCACCTCGGGCTGGCCAGCTAGTCCTTCCTTGCTTACCATCTAAGACGGGCCATAGCTGGTGGGTCCTGGACTGAGATACCTTCAGGGGAGGCTGGAATCTGATGCATCTCAGAGTGCCTGACGTTGAGTAGGGACTTGCCACATGCTTCACGGATGCGTGAATCAATACTGTTAGCTTCCAAATTCCCCAGCTCGGGCTGGAGAGATGGCTCAGAGGTTAAGAGCACTACCTGCTCTTCCAGAGGTCCTGAGTTCAATTTCCAGCAACCACATGGTGTCTCACAGCCATCTGTAATGAGGTCTGGTGCCCTCTTCTGGCCTGCAGGCAGACACACGGAATATTGTATACATAATAAATAAATATTTAAAAAACAACAAATTCCCCAGCTCATTCAGTTCTCGCAGTGAGCCTCCTAAGGGAGAACTGTTATTTTCTCTCATTACATCTTAGAAGCGGGCTAGAGAGAGGGTTCAGCCATTAGGAGCGCTTGCTCCTCTTGCAGAGGACCTGGGTGTGGCACCCACATTGGTAGGTTCACGGCTCCCTCCCGTGGTCTCTACCCACCCCACTCATCTGACCTTCCTTCCCCCTGCGCAGGGTTCGGCCCTGTCTTCACAACCAGTGACCCTGTCAGCTTCTGGCAGAAACTCAACGAGATCCAGGCCTTGGGAGGCGGAGATGAGCCAGAGATGTGTCTGTCTGCCTTGGAGGTCCGGGCCCCCTTCCTGCCCCTCCCTCTCCCTTCCCTCTTACGCTGCCCTTCCAGGCCCCGCCACCAGGGGGAACCGGAACTGGGCAACCGTTCTCCCCTGTCTCCCAGCTTCCTTCCAGGGCCCCTGTGCTCTGCCCTCCCTGGTTCCACCCACTCCTGCCACCGTGTTTACCGTTCCTTCCTCAGCTAGCCCTGCTGCACACACCTCCACTCTCAGACGTCTTCGTCTTCACCGACGCCTCCCCCAAGGATGCCTTTCTTACCAACAGGGTGGAGTCTCTGAGTCGGGAGCGGCGCTGCAGGGTGAGCGCAGCCTTAGCTGCCTGAAGATGGGAACACGCGGTCTCATGTAGGGTCACCCCGAATCTTTAACCCACTCCAGAGTGGGGGTCCACGCCTTTAGCAGTACTGAACTGTTCAAGGAAGGGCTGTGGGGTCTTCACAGGTCCCGGGGCCGGCAGAGAAACCACTGCATGAGGCTAGAAGGGAGCCAGTGTTGGTTCAAATTCTAGAGTTTGAGCCTGGGCAGTTCACGTTAGGCATATTTAAGGACAGTATAACCTTGGAAAGAAGTTTCCTGGTAACAATTATCATAATAAACCTGCAAAGTACATACGTCCTGCCTTCCAGAAGGGTGGCTTCTGTTGCCTGAGACACAGAGCTCGGATAGAGGCCTAGGGAGGAAGGGTCTGGGGATTCAGGTGAGGCCTGGACCTATAGGCAGCACAGATCACCGGACCATTAACTACACCCACGCGCCCTTTCCAGGTGGGCATACGTACACAGAGACAGCTCCGTGTGTTCAACACTCCTGGTTTCCCGAGTGCTTAGCTGTCAGCACAGGCACCATGTGCCCGCTACACTGGGCCAGCCTTGGGTCATCATTTGGCCATAGGTGACGTTCCTAGTGACTGAAGACCCATCGAGGGCTCAGGGCCGAGTGCGGCGGGAGGCCTTGTCCCCTTCGCGGTTTGAGCCGTATGAAGCAGTTGCACTGGCGTCGGGAGGAGAGGTGATCTTCACCAAAGACCAGCACATCCAGGACGTGGCAGCCATTGTTGGGGAGAGCATGGCTGGTGGTCTGGTGAGTGACCATGGCCAAGGGGGTCCATGTCCTTAGCTCAGATCTGAGGTCTGGGATGCTCTGTGCCTCTTCTGTAGAAGGTCGGGGCGGGCAGTCATGGTGGTCGTGTGCTGCCCCAGATTCATGGCTTCTAAACCCTCCATCTTGCCTTTTGTGTCCGTAACTGCCCTCCTGCCCTCTACCTTGGTCTCCAGGGCCGAAACAAGAACTTTAGTTTTTGTTTTTGAGGTAAGGTCTATGTAGTCCTGGCTGGCCTGGCCTGCAACTCACTGTGTAGACCAGATTGGCCATGAACTCACAGAGATCCGCCTGCCTCTGCCTTCTGAGTGGTGGGATTAAAAGTGTGAGCCACCACATCCAGCCATTCATCATCTGTGAAGGGGAAAGAAATGATGGCCTCACCTGAACCCCTGCCTCCAGTGTGTCACCAAGCCCGGTGCCCTGCTGAGGACCCTTCCCCTCAGTCCGAGCTTTCCTTTCTTCTCGACTCTGTCCTGCCCTCATCTGCAGGTGACTCTTCCCCTGGAGCCTCCCGTCTCCATCCCTGGGGAGACTCGTGTGTTTGCCGTGGACAGGCTCCTCCGGAACGTCACCGTCCGGGTCCACGGGGACATCAGTGGCTTCTGGATCAAGAGCCCCGCGGGTACCGTCATGTGGGGCTCAAGCACAGGAGTCGAGAGTGGAGGGCAAGGGGACAGCAGGGTAAGGATCCTTTCGTGTGACAGGCTCTCGTCCCCATCCAGGGGTTTCCCAGGGTCCAGAGGAGGGCATAGGTCCTCTGGGCCACACTCGTCGCTTTGGACACTTTTGGACAGTGGCCATGACTGACCCCCCTCAGACAGGGTCTTGGGAGATCCAGGTAGCAGCTGAGGGAAGGCCCCGGGTGAGAGTACAAGGTAAGGAGGGAAGGCTCCTGGGAAGGGATGTGGTGACCACAGTGACCATGGTCCTCTCTGACTGCCTCCTTCTCAGCCCAGACCTCCCTGGACTTCCTCTTTCACTTCGGGATCCCTGTGGAGGATGGACCCCACCCTGGCCTCTACCCCCTGACTCAGCCAGTGGCAGGTAATAGACTTTTCCCTGCCCTGCGTGTGTGTGTGTGTGTGCGCATGCGTGGGTGTGGGTGTGTGCAGGTGTGGTTGTGCATGTGTGTGCATGTGTGTGCATGCGTGCGGGTGTATGTGCGTGCAGGTGTGTGCACGTGCGGGTGTATGTGCGTGCGGGTGTGTGCGTGTGTGTGCATGCGTGCGGGTGTGTGGGTGTGTGTGCAGGTGGGGGGTGTGGGTGTGCGGGTGTGTGCATGCGTGCGGGTGTGTGTGCGTGCAGGTGTGCGCACGTGTGTGTGCGCACGTGTGTATGTGAAGTGGATACATATGTGTCTGCGTCATGTTTGATGAGTAAAGAACACTAATGGGCTGTTCCAGCCTAGTGGACTTCACGTGACCCCGTCCAGTTCAAGACTTCATCCCTTTTCCCTGCGCCTCCTCCAGTCGAATGTGACCTCTGTCTTTCCTTCCCACCTCAGGTCTCCAGACCCAGCTACTGGTAGAAGTGACAGGGCTCGTCTCTAGACAGAGCCCTGAGGCCGGCCGGCCACACTTTTCCCATGTTGTCCTTCGAAGGGTCCCCCAGGGCACTCATCTGTGCCGGGTGCCCTTAGAGCCTGTGGGACCCCCTGAGCGAGGCCTCCTGGCTGCCTCGCTGCCACCCACACTGCTGTCTGGCTCTGCACCCTTCTCCCTGGAGCTGCTTGGCCAGGATGGAGGCGGGCAGGACCTGCGCAGGACTGCCCCCCAGCCTTGCTCTGTGGCTCCTGTGCTCCTGGAGGTGAGAAGTATGGGCGGGCGGGGCTGGGGAGACCAGAACCAGCTCTTTAACCCGCCCTTCCCTGCAGCTCAGTGGCCCGCCAGGTTCCCTGGCTCCTGGCAGCAAGGTCTCTCTCAGCCTGCATGTCGCCAGCTTCTCTGGCCCCCAGGATCTTGATCTTAGGACGTCTGTCAACCCTAGCTTCTCGCTCACCTCCAACCTCTCCAGGTGAGATTCTCCCGCATCCACCTTTGCTTGGGTTCTGGCTCCACCCAGTCAGTTCTGTAGGGACCAGGGTGCAAGGGCTCATCCCAAGCCCAACCTCTTGGCCCCAGCCTTGGCTGTATCCCTCCCCGGAGCCTCTGTTCTCTCTGCAGGGCTCGCCTGGGACTGAACGAGTCCGCCTGGGGACGCCTGTGGCTGGAGGTCCCGGATTCAGCAGCCCCTGACAGTGTGGTGATGGTAACTGTGACTGCAGTGGGCCAAGGAGCCAGCCCAGGGCCCCCGACCCATGCCTTCCTCCGGCTCCTGGTGCTGGCCCAGGCCTCGCAGGTAAGCTGCTTCTGCTTTCCCTCTTAGCTGCCAAAGCTGGGCATACTGTAATGTCCCCCTCTCTCCGCAGGATCAGCTGGAGACCCCTGCCCACTCTGCTGGCCGTGTGCTGCCTCCAGCCACCCCTACCCTGCTCTCTTCCACTTTGGTGACTCAGGGCAGAGCTGGGGGAGGAGTGGTCGGCAGAGCCTGGTGGGGGACACTTGGAGGGGCGCTGTTCCTGCTAGGCTGCTCGTCCTGGTGACAGCCCCTCAGGGACTTTCCAGTCTGCCCTGTAGGTGGGCTGTCACATGGCCTCAGGGCCCTGCCCTCCTGACTGCTTTGGGACTTTCTTCTACCACACGCGCACACTTGTCCCTTTGCTTCTTTTTTTTTTCCCAAGACAGGGTTTCTCTGTGTTGCCCTGGCTGCCACTGAACTCGCGCTGTAGACCAGGCTGGCCTCAAACTCAGACACCTGCCTCTCTCTCCTGAGTACTGGGATTAAAGGTGTGCACCACCACCGCCGGCTCCCTTCTCTTTCTTAAAGGAGCCGGCTGGCACGGTGGTCCACACCTGCAGCCCCTGTAACAGGGCTGAGGTGCGAGGGACAGATGGTGACAGATTCCCATGAGGTGCTTTTCCTACTCCGAACAGAAGCCACACAAAAGTCTTTTTTTTTTTTTTTTTTGAAAGTTGCTGTTTATTCCAGAAGGAGGCAGGGCAGGGCCTAGTAGGTGAAGTTTTCACCTTATCCGGGCCGGGCCATGTCTTAGTTTAGGTTAAGGCTGAAGGAGGGCTCCCGTGGGAGGATTCACACACGGGTCAGGCACCTCTGCCCCCGCCGAGCCACCTCTCCCTCGGACTGGGTCGGTTCTTTTTGCTGCTGTGACAACTCCTACAGGAGAGAGAACCAGACTGGTCCCTGCTTCCCCTGTGGGCCAGGGTCTGTCACACCTTTAGTCTGTCCATTGCTACCACAAGTTCTCGTCCCTTGGCATTTCCTCCTGGCTCTGGGCCAGGCAGGAACCAGCCTTGCGACTCCAAAAGCCCCCCACCTCCCCAAAGTCTGTACGTTAAAAACAAGAGGCTCACCCGAATCAGACGGTGCAAACAAGCATTCACCTCTTGAATCTGGGTGAGCTGTGGGGAGTCAGTCGCTGAGTCTAAGTTCATTAGAAAATCCTGGATGGGTTGGAGGGTGACTGTGATGGAAAGGGACCCGCCTGCCACTTCCTCCCACAGGCTGCTCTTCTGGTCTGCGTTCCCTCGTCCCAGAGCCCTCACAGACAGGTGGGAAAACCCAGTCTCTTAACACTGCAGCTCGCTTCCGACTGCACAGTATCACGCTCCCCACCCCCCATTCTTGTTCCATATGGCTCCTCCCTGTCCATCCTGCCCTGTGACAGGCAGGCAGGCCACTCCCCACTCTGTGGTCAAATGGAGCCCCTCTGAATGGAATGCAGACAACAATGTCACTGGCTGAACACGGGTGCCATCCTGCCATCCCAGGGCTGTTCCACCTCATGATCCCTGCCTGTTAACCCTCTCCTTTCCAGAGCAGGCTCCACTAGGTCTCCCTCCCCCAGCCCATGCCTAGGAGGCTGCTTCCTACCTCACCGAGGGCCCCCAGATGCAGCTGCCTCTGCTGTGCCTCCCTTAGGTGGTCTGTGAACCAGGCCTGGCCCTGCTCCAGCAGCTGCAGACCCTGCCACAGAGCGTCTTGTTCCCTCTCCAGAGCCTGCATCATCTGCAGCTGCCTTAAACAAACAGAAGCCAAACTCTCAGTCCCAGCAGGACCCTAGCTATGGCCCACACTCCCAAATGGCTATCCGGTCACTAAGTGTGAGCTCAGACTGGCCACTGAGGACCTGGATGGCAAGGGGACACAGAGGGAAAGTTTGTGGGTCCTCAGTTGAGTGGAACTAGATCGAGGGCCGATCAGGGGAGAGGATGTCCTAAGACCCCGCTGGTCTAATACTCACCCAGAGGAAGAAGCTCGGAGCCCCTGGGTCTTGGCGGCTTGTCCCCAGTGGAAGCAGCAGAACAGTGTAGGGTGCTTGCACCTGGGGTGGCCCACCAGGACCTAGGCTCCCCATGGCTCTGATGTGGGAAGGGTGGAGCCAGCGCTGGTTCCTCTCCAAGCCCTGCCTACTACCCATCCTGCCTTGTCTTTCAGCCTTTGAGGCCAAGATTAAGGCAAGAGACGCCTGCCCTGAACTATGTGCCATCCTTCAGTCTGTTTTCGTAGAGCCTCTTTGGAGTAGTTGGCCTCATTGAGTCCCAAGAGCAGGATTTGAATTTATTTGAATTTGTATTTATTTATTTACTTTTTATAAAAGACAGTCTTTCTATGTAGCACTCACTATATAGACTAGGATGGCCTCAGACTCAGAGATCTGCCTGTTTCTGCCTTCCTGGTACTGGGATTAAAAGCCTGCACCTCCATCCCTGACTGGATTTGTGTGCATATATATATCTATCTGAGTTTCACGTTTCCCAGAGCCCAGGAGACCAGAAGGATGTTGGAAACCTTGGAACTGGAGTTACAGATGCATGAGAACTGACTTGTGGTGCAGGAACCAACCCACTTCTGCAAGAGCAGCCAGTGCTCCTAACCACTACATCCCCTAGCTCTCCTGTTGTCCCATTGGGTGGCATCTGGAAGGATTTTGATCCAAAATAAACTTTATTCCTAATACAAAACAAAAAAACGTTGTGCAGACAGAGAAGTCAGCATCTAGAGAAGAAAAGAAAGCGGTGTGGCGGGTCTCAGCTGTCAGGTAGCTGAGAGGATGGGGAAGGAGCTCAAAGGATGGTGGTGGCCGCTGGCAACACTTCCTGACTCATGAAGATGCCCAAGTCCAGGGTTGGATCTTCCAGATCCAGCTTCAGAAACTTAGTCACCAGTGCCTGGCAACTGCAGGGGAGAAAGAATCATGTGATTTCTAGGTCTGTGCACAGGAAACCGCAGCTTTGAAGAGAAATGGTTTCAGAGAGCAGCGTGGGTCCTGTCGGTTTTGTCATTGGCTGACAAGGTCTTGCTATGTAGCCCAGACTGGCCTTGAACACTGGGACTACAGGCATGTCCATCACACCTGGCTTGGTGAGGGGAGGGCACAGGGCTGCAGGAAGGCTGGCTGAGGCCCTGTGAGGGGGAGACGTTGGGGAGGAGCCACACTCACTTTTCCATCTGGTTCCTCCTCAAAAGCTCGTTTACAGGTTTGATAGGTTTCCCACTGCGGATCAGGTCTGAGACCTAGCACAAGAAGGAAAGCGGAGAGCTGCTGGGCGCACACGAGGGAAGAGGGCCTAGAACTCCACGTCTTCAGGAGGAGTGGGTATAAGGTGCAGAGATGCCCAGTGGTTAAGAACACTGGCTGCTCTCACAGAAGACCTGGGTTCAATCCCTGTCACCCACAAGGCAGCTCACAACCATCTGTGACTCCAGTTTCCTGAGATCTGCTGCCCTCTCCTGACGCCCACAGGCACACGTGGTGCAGACATAAATATTGCAGGGAAAACACTCATGCACAAAAGACTTTTTTTTTTTTTTTTTTTTTTTTGAGGCAGGGTTTCTCTGTGTAGAGCAGGCTGTCCTGGAACTTGCTTTGTAAACCAGGCTAACTTTGAACTCACAGAGATCCACCTGCCCCTGCCCATGGAGTGCTGGGATTAAAGGTGTGCACCACCACCTGGCAAAATACATAAATCTTAAAAACCACTTGAAGAGGAGCAGGTGTGCTGGAGGGAGCCCCGAGGTGGCAGTGGCAGCACACAGGCTCTCGTCACCTCTTTGCCACGAGCAATGAGCTGGTCAGGAAGCCCGGCCTGGGCAGCTGTGTAGGAGGCATGGCTGGCACTGGCAACACCTTGGCAAAGCTGGTAGAAGAAGACAAGGTCGTCCCCGTCCTCACAGGTCTCCATGGTCTAGGAGAGCAAACAGTGACTGTGGGACTCCCGGGGACCGAGAAGAGGGAAAGGCCACGGGCTGGAGTGACCCCCTCACCAAGTACTGCACTAGGGGTCCTTGTGGCAGCAGCTGCAGCTGAACCAGGCTCAGGAAGTTGGTGGCCACAAAGATGTGGGGGCAGCTGGGTCCCAGGGCTAGCCAGTGCCTGAGCACAGCAGCCAGAAGTGCCAGCCCGTCCACCTGCCAGAGGGCAGAGGTGAGGGGACAGAGCCAGGGCATCCGTGCCCTTCTGTACCTGCCCTGCCCCGCACCCACCCTCCACCCCCGTCTCTGCCCATCCATCCCCCTCCCTTCCCTGAGCTCCTCTCCTGCCCCTGTCTCTTCATCCTCCATCCCCGTCCTCATTCTCCTCCTCACCGTATTGGTTCCCTTCCCAAATTCATCAATGAGGACCAGGGACTTCTGGGTGGCATTGTTCACGGCTTTCGCCACCTGCTGGGCACGGGGTGAGCAGGGTTTCCTTAGCCTCAGCACTGGCTTCTGACGTGTCGCCACTAATAAACTTTGCACCTGCTTACAGCGACACGCCTGTCTGCTCAGCCCTCCCTTGTCAGCAGTGAGGAAGGCTCACAAAGGAGTCTCAGAAGTGCTTATGGTGTTGCTTCCTCCAGACTCTGACCCAGGTGCCCCCTGGCCCCAAGTACATAGGACATGCAGCTGAGGGAATGTGTCCCCAAGGGCGGGACCCAGGTCCTGCTTGAATCTCCCTTCCCCACCTCCTTTTGCTCCGTTTAACCTGGTTGAGGTCAATCATGAAGGTGGAGAGACCGAGGGAGATGGATTCACAGCTATGAATTCGGGTGAAGATGGCATCGATTATTCCAATTTCAGCCGCCTCTGCTGGCACAAAGCTGCCCACCAGGGCCATGAACGTGATCAAGCCTACCTGGGCATGGGAGGACACAGGACATAGGCCTGGTGCTATGGCAAAGTACAAATAGGTCAACTAAAGACATGAGTACAGATTAAAGAGAGGACACACTGTCCCTGTGTCCTGACTTCAGAATTGCTCTAAAGTCAGGGCTGTGGGTAAAGGCATGCCGGGAATGACACTGGATCTCTTCAGAGCTCGGTCAAGGGACCCGTGGGCGTGAAAAGGCCTATCCTAAAGAACTGGCTCTCAGTTCTCAGACATGTGTTTTAGGGAGCAGAGGATTTGGCCTGGCTGGCAGGTTGTATGGCTCCTCACCTGTTTAAGGTATATGCTTTTCCCTGAGGAGTTGGGTCCAGTGATGACTTTGACCCTCCCTTGGTCCCCACCACAGTCTGTGGAGTTGGGCACAAAGGTTCGTGCACACAGTTCCATCAGAGGATGCCTGGGGTGGGGGAGACACTGCATGGCCCAGGATCCAGGTGGATGAACCCCACACCAGAAGACGGACCCTGTGGGCCCTGTCTGTGTCTCCGCCCCACTCTGTCCTCACCTGCCATTCTTGATTCGTACCCCGTGGATTCGGGGAGAGTAGTGGGGTCTTGAGTAGCCATAGTCCCGGGCAGCACTGGCAAGAGCCAGTAGGACATCAAGGCGAGAGGCAAGGTCCAGTACCCGCGTCAAGACAGACGCCCGCGCCAGCACCTGGCACTGCAACTGGTACATCAGCAGGGTCTCCTGGTCTGGGGACAACTGGTACGTCAGCAGGGTCTCCTGGTCTGGGGACAACTGGTACGTCAGCAGGGTCTCCTGGTCTGGGGACAACTAGATTCAGTTCTGGGTCAAGAGAGGTCCCTGGAAAGACCTGGAAACAGGCTTACAGATGATACAGCCCGAGGCTCCCCCTGCCATGGCCCTCACCCCGGATCTCGCAGTGCAGGTCCCCCAGCAGTGCGTCCAGCTCCTTGGTTCGCGTGCTGCGGTAGTGCAGCTTGTCTTCCGAGAGAAACTGGGGCAAGGGTTCCAAGCTCTGGGCGTTTGTGACATGATTTCACTATGTAGCCCTGGCTGGCCTGGAACTCAAAGCAATCTCTCTGCCTCTGTCTCCCAAGTGCTGGGATTACAGTCGTGCACCACCATGCCCAGAGACTCCATCTCTTCCCGCAGTGTGCCCCCAACTTCTCTGTCTCAGCTAAAGCTCTGATTAAGTTAGACATGACCCCACATTTTGGTCAGTGCTGATGGTGAGATCTTCCAGCTTCTTTATCACGCTCCCCCATCCCCAGTAGCGGGAGTCCAGAGATTTACCATGAAGTCTAGTCCCTCAATCTCAAAGTCACTGGTCTCCACCATAAAAGGCAAGCGGGGAATGGAAAGAAGGAAGCCAATCTGGGGAGAGAAGAGAGACAGAGTGGGGGGTAACCTGCTCCACACCCTCTCTTCCTAGAGGAAGCCCCGACACCACTAGAATCAGCAAAGGTAAGCATGCCCTAGACTGCTGATCTGGCTGGGTGTCAGTCCCTGCTCACCACTCCACAGGAGACACGAGCAGCTGTCCTCCCCTCCAGCCCTCACCACAGTCCCCCGGAAGCTCCGCCCTCTGCCCTGCTCACCAGAGGGATGTAGATGACACTACAGGAAGGAATGCGGGCGTCCAGATTCTCCAGCTCCTTCTGAGCAACCTCGGTGAGGAAACTCGGAAGGCCCATCAGCCTTCGTTTTTCTAGGTGTGTATAGAATTACGTGCATGTAAAAGAGAAGGTCCAGGAAGATTAGGGGTTCTAGGACAACCCTGGCCACAAGAAACTATTTTTTAAAAATTCCTGATTAGCTGCTGGGCATGGTGCGCGTTATCCCAGCACTCAGAGGTGGAAGCAGAAGGACCAGAACTCTGAGGCCATCCTTAGCTATGAATTAAATTTGAGGCTAGTCTATGCTACAGGAGACTCTGTCTCAAAAACAACAACAAGAAAGATCTTTGCTCTGATTGGAAAGCTGATTCCCAGTTGTGGTATTTGGTGCTGGCTGACAGCCCCCGCCCCGCCCACCCATGCCCAGCACTCACTCGAGTCTATCTCAGGATCGATGTTCGGGAGGACCGTGAAGCGGTTTTCAGCAAGACTCTCCTCAAAGTTTACCTGAGGAGACAGATGGGAAGTTTCTTAGCACTCGGCAGCATGGTTCCTCAGCTCTCGGGGCCCAGACCCCCCCCTCACACGCACACGTCCTCTCCCCACCCTGCGCAGTCGCCAGTTGACCCCAGGACCTCCCACAACACATCCTCCAGACCCTCCCTGTTCCCCCATCCTGCTCCCGCTCACCACTTTCCCAATGAGGCTGGCGACGTGGTGCAGGTCATCGGAGAACTCCTGGGCAATGTCCCGAAAAAGCTGGATGGACTGGGGCAGGGAGCGGCAGGCATCCCTCAGGCCCAGGGCACTGTACACAGTCTGCAGGACAGACAGCCAAGGAAGGTGACCCCAACTCAGGGGAGCTGAGGGGGCCTGGGAACGAAGACCAATGGGGAACATGGGGAACACTGAGAGTTATTAATGCAGAAAGACACACAGTGAGACACACGTGACGATATACGGAGAGAAGAGGATTAACTTCTGTGAGAGGGGACAAGACAGAACTAGGAATAAAAGTCAAGAAGAAAGGGCAGGGAGGTGGCTCAGCAAGAAAAGCCAAGAGCTAAGTCTGCCAGTCTGAGGTCAGCTTCCAGAACCATGTGGTGGGAGGAGAGAGCCTCACAGGCTGTACTCCGGTTCACACATGAAAGTCACGGTACAGGCTAGCACAGACATACACCAAATAAAAACATTTTTTTTTTTAATTTTTGAGACAATGCTTCTCTGTGTATCCCTTGACTTCCCTAGAACTCCCTCTGTAGACCAGGCTGGGCTCGAGCTCAGAAATCCACCTGCCTCTGCCTCCTGAGTGCTGGGATTAAAGGCGTGCATCACCACCACTCAGCTAAATAAATGTTTTATGAGAAGAGGCAGCTCCAGCCTAGGGCCCTGCAGAGAGCAAGGGCTCAGAGTCCTTGAGAACCGACTTCCCAGGGCAGGACCAGTAACCAAGCCGCAGATCTAACCACTGATTAAATTTCTGGACACAGTCATAAGCACCTGAGTGGTCTCGCTCTGTGCAGAGCTGTAGAAACTGCAAGCGGCAGAAACAGTGGTAAAGCCAACAGTGAGCTGGACAGCTGACAGTCATCGGGAACGTCAGATAACAAGCTGCCACAGCCTGAAACAGTTGGGAAGCCTTTTCAGAGGAAAGGAAAGGAGATGCTCGTGAATAAAGACTGGAAAGTCGTGTGAGAGCAGGAGCAGAGCAGGTGGACGGAGGAGGAGGACGCAGCGGCCCATGCGGACCGGCCAGGCAGTTCTAGTTTTCTACGTGTGTTCACAGAGTGCTCCTGTGCGGTGGGCACTGCTGCCACCCCAGTTCACAGATGAGAGCCCTGAAGCACCAGAGGCAAAGACAGCCTCAACCCTCAATAAACAAACTCAGCACATTAATGGACTGGGCTTGAACCAGGTGTGTGGCCCCGCCCCCTCATGGTCTATCTGAAATTAAACCCAGGACCCAAGGGCCTCCCAGGACTCCAGTGCTGAGCTGTGATTCCTACCCTGTTTATTCTGAGACAAGAGCCCACTAAGTTACCCACACAGCTCTCTAATGCACTCTGTAGCCCAGGCTAGCCTTAAACTTGTTTTGGGGGAAGAGGACAAAGTCTCAGTTGGGGGTGGTGGCACAAGTCTGTAATTCCAGCTCTCTGGAAGTTGAGGCAGATGGATCACAAGTTCAAGATCAGCTTGGATGACACAGTGCATTTGAGGCTAGCCCGGGCTATATTTTTGAGATCGCATCTCTAAAGTAAGCAACCAAAGAAGCAAACATCAATGCTTGGGAAAAAGACACAGAAAGATTTATAATTCTTGCAACTTTTAAGTCTTAAATTGCTTCAAAAACTAAGGGCCAGCAAGCTGGCAACTACCAAGTCCCACAAACTGAGTCAGTCCTGGTGTCCACACGGAGGAGGGAGGAACTGGCCCTGCAGGTTTGCCTCTCGCCTCACGTGCTCACTGTCACACGTGTGCACCCACATTCACAGCGAATGTAATCAGTCTTAAAAACTAAGTAAAAACAATAGAATGGGGCTGGATCTTCCAGAGGTCCTGAGTTCAATTCCCAGCAACCACATGGTGGCTCACAGTCATCTATATGAGAGCTGATGCCAACACTATATATACAACAAATAAGTAAATAACTATTATAAACACAATAAAATGATTTTTTTTTATAATTTACTTATTTTTATGCGGGAATCAGATCCCCTGGAACAGGAGTTACAGACAGCTGTGAGCTGTTATGTAGGTGCTGGGAATTGAACCCAGGTCCTCTTGAAGAGAAGCCAGTGCTCTTAACCACTAAGCCAGCCCTCTAGCCTCCAGAATGTTAAATTTTAAAATTAAAAAAGATACAGGGGCTTGGTGGCATACACCTTTAACCCAAACACTCAGAAGGAAGGCAGAGGAGAGCCAGTCTCTGTGAATTTTAAACCAGCCTGGTCTACACGGAGTTCCACGACAGCCAGGGCTACATAACGAGAAGCTGTTTTAAAAAAAAAGTAAATAAATGTAGAGTGTTGCTCTCCTCCTGCTGTCTGAGACCCAGAGGTAGGATTCTAAGCTCCTTCTCCAGCACCGTGTGTGCCTGCCTGCTGCCATGCTTCCTGCCATGATGACAACAGACTAAACTCCTGTCAGCCCCAGCTAAGAGTTGTGTGGTCATGGTGTCTCTTCACAGCAATAGAACACTAAGACAATAAATACATAGATTTCCTTTACTCTGCTTTATGATTATGTATAAATATTTAGTCACATCAGCCCAGACAAGGCATGTCATTAATTCTAGCTTCTGTCCCAGTTTCTTTACGCTATTAGCAGCAAACCTCATGATCCTGGGAAGCTGGCTCGGCAGTTAGAGCCCTTGTAGCTCTTGAAGACCCAGATTTGTTTGCCAGCACTCGCATGGTGGCTCACAAGCATTCCTAACTGCAGTTCCAGGATCTGGTGCCGTCTGCTGGCCTTTCTAGGCTAGGCATGCACATGCAGCACAAACACACATTGAACAAGAAAGACGGGTACAATAATAAAGGAGGGGCCTTGTGGTTCTGATATTAGCAGTCACATCAGTGCCGGCTCTGTAGTCACCCAAGGGCAGTGCTCATGGAAGGTGACAGGACAAGGGCAGAAATCACACTGCATGTATTTTTGATACTGTCTGCAGCACAGAGTTTGGGAGACACATCAGTGGGTGTAGCATGGCAGGTATCCAGAGCAGAGAAGGTCTGTGTACAGATTCAAAGCTTAACTGGGGTTTCTGAACCTAAGAAGGGGCACCTGCAATCCCAGAACTCAGGGGAAGGGGCAGGAGGCCTTACCTTGTAGAGGACTTGCCAGTCACTGACCTTGGTGTGGGACAGCTTCATGCGCTTCAGAATCAGCTACAAGCAGACAAAGGAATAGCCATCATTGGCCATCTTGCCATCAGACACCCCACAAGAGGCCCACAGTCCAGGCGGGAGACCCAGGTTTGGCCCCTGGCACCCACATCAGGAGGTTGACAAACACCCATAACTCTAGCTTCAGGGGATCCACCATCCTTTCCTGGACTCTGCAGCCACCCACACTCACGTGCGTGCACTCCACACAGACACGCCTAATTTCACTTGTTTGTTTAAGATAAAATCTCATTACATAGCCCTGACTGAACTGGAACTCACTATGTAGATCAGGCTAGCCTCAAACTCACAGGCCTGGCTATAAATGCGTATAATTAAAAACAATATCTTAGGCTGGGCAGTGGTGGTACACGCCTTTAATCACACACGGCACTCGGAAGGCAGGCAGATCTCTGAGTTAAAGGCCAGCCTGTCTACAGAGCGTGTTCCCGGTCAGTCAGGAGCACACAGAGAGATCTGGTCTACAGAGCAAGTTCCTGGTCAGTCAGAAGCACACAGAGAGACCCTGTGTGAAAAATAGTCAGGGGTGATGGCGCACAACTTTAATCCCATCACTTGGGAGATAAAGGCAGGTGGATCCCTTTGAGTTCCAGGCCATTCAGGTTGCATGGTGAGACCCTATCTCAAAACAAAAAACAAATACTAAATTTAATAAAAATAAGAAGCCCAAGGCTTTCCATAAGCATCAGCCTCGTTCCCTTGCCCTGACCTCCACCATGGGCTCTCAGCTTCATTCCCTGACCCTGAGCTCACAGGCACGTTCTTGATGTGGCTCAGGAGACGATGCATCATCTGAGCCGTGTCCAGATTCTGAGGCATCAGGAAAAATTGAATGACATCCAGACGGGAATTGAGTTCTCTTAGCTCCTGAGTTGGACGGGTAAACCATAGCCTGCGGGAAGATTAGAAGTCACATCTCATCATCTTGATTTTGCTTGGAAATCTTTGGGGAGTGTGGTAGTATGTGCCTGCAGCACACTACAGGAATGAACTGGCAAGTCGGGGCCCCGTCTCTGTGGGCATGTTTGCATCACGATGGCTGTCTGCGTGTCGTGGATTTGATGGAGGAGACCATGTGTCACTCCATGTGGATATGTGATAGAGAGTGTCAATATTTTAGAGCGAGAGCAGCGTGTTGTGGTATCTGTGTGCCAACACTATAGATTTCTGCAGCTGAGTGGGAGCGGCTGAGTCACTCTGAGTTTGCTGTCTGTGTGTAGCTGTGACAGTATCTTAGGGAAACAGCACAGACAAAACCTCATCTTTTCATGTGCTTTCTGTGCAAATGCCTGTAACGAATTCTCATTCTCTCTCCTACTCTCTTCCACTCTTTCTTCTGGCGATGTTTAAAGTTGAGTCAATGCTTACTCACTATCCAAGCAACAAACTATTGAGCCACACCCCAGCCTGCATTTTTTTTTTTTTTGAGACAGGTTTCACATAGCTCAGACTGGTCTCAAACTTGCTATATGGCCAAGACTGACCTGGAACTCCTGGTCCTCTAGCTTATACTTCCTAAGTGCTGGAATTACACTTGTGTGCCACCAGACCACTGCCCAGTCTGCTATTCTTTGTGTGTGCACGTATTATGAGTGTGAGTGTGTGTGTGTGGACAGGAATGTCATGACACCCGGGAGATCAGAGGATAGCTCTGGAGCTGGTTCTATCCCACCTCTATGTAGGTTCAGGTTGCTAGACTTCTGCAGAAAACACCTTTACCTGTCGAGCTGTCTGACCAGTCCCTAGCCTGCAATTTCTTTTTTTTTTTCTTCCTTCTTTTTGTAAGGGGTGTGTGTGTGAGAGCTTAAGGAGCCCCAAAAGGCAGGCAGTGGTGGCTCACACCTTTAATCCTAGCACTCGGGTGAGTTCAAGGCCAGCCTGGTTTACAAGAGCTAGTTCCAGGACAGGCTCCAAAGCTACAGAGAAACCCTGTCTCTAAAAACAAAAACCAAAAAAGAAAAAAAAAGGAGCCCCAAAAGGGAAGACTGATCCCCTGGAACTGGAGTTGATGTGTCTGTGAGCTTATCAATGTGAATGCTAGTCCTTGAATTTTCTTTGAAAAAATTACATTTAAAATTGTGTGTTTGTGTGTGTAAGAGAAAGAGAGGAAGAGAGGGAGGGAGGGAGGGAGGGAGGGAGGGAGGGAGGGAAGGAGGAGGGAGCATGTATGTGCCATGGTGCACATGTAGAGGACAGAGGAGAACTTGTGTGAATTGGTTTTCTTCTTCTCTCATGTGATATTTGCACACTTGTGTGAAGGTGTATTGCTGTGATTGGTGTAATAAAATGCTGAACAGCCATTCAGCCAGGCGGTGGTGGCACACGCCTTTAATCCCAGCACTCGGGAGGCAGAGGCAGGCGGATCTCTGTGAGTTCAAGGTCAGCCTGGTCTACAAGAGCTAGTTCCAGGACAGGCTCCAAAACCACAGAGAAACCCTGTCTCGAAAAACCAAAAAAAAACAAAAAAAAAAAAAATGCTGAACAGCCAGTAGCTAGGCAGGAGGTATAGGAAGGATTCCGAGGAAAGAAAGGAAAAGGAGGAGTCACCAGGAGATATGGAAGAGAAGCAGGATGAGTGGTACGGGACAGAGTGTGGATTAATAGATGTGAGTTATGAGTTAGTTAAAAACAAGCCTAAGTTAAGGCCAAGATTACTGTTTTTTTGTTTGTTTTGAGACAGAATTTCTTTGTGTAACAGCCCTAGCTGTCCTAGGTAGATGAGGCTGACTGCAAACTCACAGGGATCTGCTTGCCTCTGCCTCCTGAGTGTTGGCATTAAAGGCTATGCCACCACTGCCCAGCTTGGCCCAAGCTTTCATAATTAATGAAGCTTCTCTGTGCTGTTATTTGGAATCTGCCTGGCAGGACAGAAAAAGACTTGCTACAATATGAGTTCTGGGAATTGAACTCAGATCACCAGGCGTAGTGACAAGTGCCTCTGTCCACTGAGCTAGCACCTCAGTCTACTACGTTTACACTTCCTTTTTCTTCTTGTTTAGAGACAAGGTCTCACTATGTAGCCTTGGCTGGCCTAGAGCTCAGAGTCTGCCTGCTTCTGCCTCTGATAAGACTCAACCTAGTCACCATGTCCAATTCTTCTTAAATGTTTAATAATGGTCATCTCTTAGAAGAGGAAGGACGTGTAGAGACGGTGAAGGTGTTTCAACAGGTGGGTCTGATTCATGCATGACTAGTGTGTACAGATGTCATCACACCTTTTGCTGCCAGAAGTATTACCTGTTAAGTTAAATTACTCTACAGCAGAAATGTCTCATCTGAATTTGTTTAATTCTGTGTGTGGGATTTAATTCTGTAAGAACTTTAGCCTGGGGTTCTTTTCTATGTAATAGCAAGCCATTACTCACGCTATCTGAGAGCCAGCAAGTGGAGACCTGGGCCTGAGGGTGCTCACCTCCCACTTAGCCCATAGCCAGTTATGTTCAATCAGAACACCCCAAATTAGAAAAAAACCAAAGATGCATTTCAGTTCAAGGGTGGGTTTTGGCCACCCTCGTTCTTCTCCAAGGAAAAGAGCGCTGGGGCCACGGCAGTGTCGGCCGGACCAGGGAGCTCTGTCCCAACTCTGTAGAGCACGAGACCCACCTAGCAACTTCCTTCTAGGACACCGCGTTTACCAGACTCCTGTTCTGTTAGCGACCCGAGGAAGTGAGGACTGAGTCAGTAACTTGTCCAACACCGCACTGCTAATGAGAAGTGCATGTGGGTGTCAGCTGGGAGCCGCTGCAGCCTGCACTTCAGCACTCAGTGCTGCCTTGCGGGTCCCGTGTGGAAATCTGCCCCGTGGTCTCTCATGAGCAGAGGATAATCGTGGACCTCTGATCCTCTTCCTTCCACCTCTGTCTATGTGATGCTGGGGAAGGAACCCAGGGAAACACACTACCAACGGAGCTACATCCCTGTTGTGGAACGTTATTTTAGCTAGGCAAAGAAGTGTTACTTTTGTTTATCCTGAGGAATATTTAACTGTGTAAAGGTGTGTCACTTTTGTTTATCCTGAGGAATATTACTTTAACTGTGTAAAGGTGTGTTACTTTTGTTTATCCTGAGGCATATTTAACTGTGTAAAGGTGTGTCACTTTTGTTTATCCTGAGGAATATTACTTTAACTGTGTAAAGGTGTGTTACTTTTGTTTATCCTGAGGCATATTTAACTGTGTAAAGGTGTGTCACTTTTGTTTATCCTGAGGAATATTACTTTAACTGTGTAAAGGTGTGTTACTTTTGTTTATGCTGTGGTATATTACTTTAATTGTGTAGAGGTGTGTTACTTTTGTTTATGCTGTGGAATATTACTTTAACTGTGTAAAGGTGTGTTACTTTTGTTTATCCTATGGCATATTTAACTGTGTAAAGGTGTTTCACTTTTGTTTACCCTGCAGAATATTACTTTAACTGTGTAAAGGTGTGTTACTTTTGTTTATTCTGAGTAATATTACTTTAACTGTGTAAAGGTGTGTCACTTTTGTTTATGCTGTATTTATTCAACGATGTAAGGATGTGTGCTTAATTATGTAAAGATGTATTGCATCTGTTTCACCTTGACTGCCTAAGGCACCTGATTGGTCCAATAAAAAACTGAACAGCCAATAGCTAGGCAGGAAGGGGACAGGCAGTGCTGCCAGGCAGAGAAAATAAATAGGAGGCGAAATCTAGGCTCAGAAAGAAAGGAGGAAAAAGGAGAGAATAAGGAACATGCCTGGGGCAAGAAGCCAGGCAGACGCCAGACAGACAGACATAGAGAAGCAGTGAGAGTAATATATACAGAAACAGAAAGGTAACAAGCCCCAAGGTAAAAGGTGAAGAGAAACAGGTTAATTTAAAAGAGCTAGCCAGAAATGTGCCTAAGATAGGTAGAGCATTCAAAACTAATAATAAGTCTCATATTTGGGAGCTGGTTGGTGGCCCAAAAGAAAAAGCCTGGTACACATTCCTAGTCCTTACTCTATTCCTCCCCTTTAAAAAATTTCCATGTATTAGCTAGGCGATGATGGCATATTTCTTTAAACCCAAAAGAGACAGAGACAGGCAGATCTCTAAGTTTGAGGTCAGCTTGATCTACAGAGTGAGTTCCAGGACAACCAGGGCTACATAGAGAAACCTTGTCTTGAAAAAAATAGAATGGCCACGGAGAAACCCGTCTTGAAAAACCAAAAAAAAAAAAAAAAAAAAAAAAAAAAAAAAAAAAAAAAAAAAAAAAAAAGAAAGGAAAGAAAGAAAAAAAACAGAACAAAACCAATTTTTGTGTATGTGTTTAAGTCTGTGTGAGTATGTGCAATGGATGTACAAGTACGTGTCTTAGAGGCCAGAGGGTCTCGTATCCTGGAACTGGAATTCCATGTGGTTCCACGCAACTGTGAGCAGCCTGGCATGGGCGCTGGAACCTGAACAAGGATTCTTTAGAAGAGCAGCAAGTGATGAGCCACACACACAACCTTCTTAAAAAACAAAGTCACACCTCCCAAGCAAGTGTTACAGGTGTGTGCTACTATGCCTTGAGATAGACACACACACACGATGATCTTGCCATGTAGTCAAGGCCTCAAACTTGTATTACCTCCAGCCCCGCCCTTTCTGAGTGCTGCGATTAGAGGTATTTGCCCCATGCCTGGCTTTCTCCTTCTTTAGCATAATTCTCTTCTCCATGGGAAAGTCTCTTCCTCCATGCTAGGCGTGCTCATCTATTCCTGTAATCCCAGCATCCAGGAGGCAGACAGGAGGATCATCAAAAGAAGGTCACCTGGGCCTTTCTAGCAAGTTTCAGACTGGTCTGGGATGCATAGTGAGACCAGATTCCAGCAAATCCTCTAAGACCCCCACTTTTCACTCCCTGCTTGGAACTCAGGATTTACATCTGAAGCATTAAAGAATGTGTGGGTAATTCTGTTACTCAGAGATCATCCTCAGTCCCCAGAAGGGATGTGTTGCAGTGGGGCAGGCAGGGAAAGGAGCAGCCCTAGGCCTGTCTGCTAGCAAAAGTTTGTATGTGTTCTGAGGTTCTGGAGACGATGCAGCTAGTATGCTTGAGTTTCTGTACTGTGCACACTCACTGAGTATTCTACCTACAAAGTCATGTGCCAGACACGGGCAACAGGAACTCACAAGTATAAGGCAACTGGTTCACCAAGAATCCTAACCTGATGTGAAAGAACGCTGGGCCACACGGGTACAAGGAGGTGCACACTCACCTCTCATGTGCACTGTGAGAGCTTCACCTAAAAGGTCAGAGTGCAAAGGTTGACAGGGTGACTAGAATACAGGGTAGAGCTAGCAGAAAAGGATTTACGAGGAATCTGGAGATGTGAACCTGAAAATTAAAACCAAGGTGAACAGGGGTGTGACGATTGGTCTAAATCGTCAATGTGAGTTGTGCCGGTGAAGGGTTGTTAGATGTCCGAGTTACTGTGGGCATTGTTCCTTGGACAGCAGAGGAGAGGGTGCCTGAACTGTCCTTGCCCCACTATCACGCTGATGATTATCTCGAATATCACCAGAGAATTTTCGTCCGGCGACGGATGGAGATAGAGACAGAGACCCTCATCAGAGCAACAGACTGAGCTCCCAAGGTCCAGTTGAAAGGCAGGAGGGAGAAGACAAGGAAGAAGCAAGGAAGTCAGAACCACAAGGGGTTGGTCCACCAACTGAGGCAATGTGCCTGTTCTAATGGGAGCTCACTAAATCCAGCTGGACCGGATCTGAATGAGCATGTGATCAAATCAGACTGATTGTGGCTGACAATGGGGGCTGACTGAGAAGTCATTGATAAAGGCACTAGGACTTGTTTTTACGGCATGTTCTGGCTTTTTGGGACTCTAGTCTATATGGATGCACAGCTCCCTAGGCCTGGATGTAGGGAGGAGGGTCTTGGACTTCCCACAGGGCAGGGTTCCCTGCCCTCTCTCAAGCAGGGTGGGAGAGGGAGGAGGGGGTGTGGGGGAAGTGGGAGGGAATTGGGAGGAGGGGAGGAAGTGTAAATAATTGAATGGAAAAATAAAAATAAAAAAAACAGAAAAAAATTGTCAATTTGATACAGTCTAGAACTATTTCTGAGAATGTCTGAGGAATTATCTTAATTATATCCTCTATATACAGTGCTATATAATATATATTACATACATAGATATATTATTTGTGCTCTAATATAAAAAAGTGTGCTTGAAGATCAGAGGGCAAAGCAGTCACACTAGGCAGCCATACAGGCCAGGCAATAGTGGTGCACACCTTAATCCCAGGACTCAGGCCAACCTGGGCTATACAAGATAGATTCAGAAACAGATCCAGGTGGTAGTGGCTCACACCTTTAATCCCAGCACTAGAGAAGTGAAGACAAAAGTGATATGGCTGGGAGGAGAGGGGAATATAAAAGGGAAGAGACAGGAACTCTACTGGCATGTGGAGTCTGAGGATTCGTGGAGACAGGATCTTGCCCTTTTGGGCTGAAGATTTGGTAGAAGTAAAAGGTCTCTCTAGTGGCTGGCTGCTTTGCTTTTCTGGTTCTCAGCTTGAACCCCAATATCTGTCTTTAGGTCTTTATTATTCGTGCTACACACTGACGTGGAGAACTGTGAGCAGCACTGTTCCCTGGGCTTAGGATCTTAGACTGAACGAGGGGAAACCTAGTCAACACTGGTACGCACGCAAGAATCCTCGCTCTTATTCTCTGCTCTCTGCTTTAACTGCAGATACAATGTGAGTTCCCACGGCAATGGGACCTGGAACCGTGAGCCAATAAACCCTTTTGCCCTTAAGTTACTTTTGATCAAATATGCTGCCACAGCAACAGAAAAGAAACTCAGGAAGGGACCCTACACACCACCCTACAGATCACACCACTCTCAGGAAGGGACCCTACACACCACCCTACAGATCACACCACTACATATGCTAAGCTTTCCCGTGACAGGGAAGCGTCCTTGTTTCTACTTAAGACTTTTTAAGAAGTGGACATGCCCAGATCTATTGGTCAGGCCAGCCTGTGATTTAGAATGAACGGCTCATTTAGAGAAAGAGACCAGAGGCAGGGACCATTTTGGAGGTAAATGCAATGCTTCTGATTAACATCCTGATAGCCAGAATTAGATTGTTAAGAGGGAGGAAGGATGGCTAAGAGATTCCAGGATAGAGACAAGAGACACCAGTGAACGACTGAATATGGAGGATGAGGGAAAGCATCAGTCCAAGGTGCCCATCTTGAGATGTTACACTGCCAGCAATGCCATCAGCTGGAAAATGGCAGGAAGACGTCCTGATGCTCTGAGCTGCAGTGTCTATGGAAACCACAGGTGGCAACAATATGCAGCTGTCAGACCACGTATGTAATCCTGCACATAAATGTGGGCGTTAGGTCAATAATTCCTGTTTTGTTTTTTGAGACAAGGTCTCAGCATGTGGCTCCAGCTGTCAGGGAACTCACTGTGTAGACCAGGTTGGCCTCAAACTCACAGAGATCCTCTGTCTCTGCTTCTTGGGCTATGATTAAAGGTGTGCACCCCTGCACTTGGCTAATTTCTGTTTCGTTTGCTATCAAATAGGGTCTCAGGCAGCACAGCTGCCTCCATCTGATTTTTTAAAGACCATTTTATTTACCATTTTTTAATGTGCATGTAGGTCTGTGCACTACTTGTGTGCCTGGTCCCCTGAGGTCAGAAAGGGGCTTCAGATCCCCTAGAACTGGAGTTACAAAAAGTTGTGAACCTCTGAACCTCCATTTGGGGGCTGGGAATCAAAGGTCTTCTGCAAGAGCAGCCACTGTTGCCGGTAGGTGGTGGCACAAAATTTTAATCACAGCCAACTAGGGCTACACAGAGAAACCCTGTCTGGAAAAACAAACAAACAAACAAACAAAAAAGAGCAGGTAGTACTCGTAACTGCTGACTCCTCTCTCTAGTACTATATCTACTACACCTCAGCTAGTACTCATAACTGCTGACTCACCTCTATCCCTGGCCTCCAATTCTTTTTTTTTCCTTAGGGTTGGGGGGGGCGTCGAGACAGGGTTTCTCTGTGTCTTTGGAGCCTGTCCTGGACTGGAACTCACTGTGTAGACCAGGCTGGCCTTGAACTCACAGAGATGCCTGCCTCTGCCTCCCAAGTGCTGGGATTAAAGGTGTGCACCACCACTGCCTGGCTAGCCTCCAGTTCTTGATTGATTTTACTACCTCAGCCTCACAAAAGCTGGAATTATGGGGGGAATGTGCCACCATGGTCTGTTTGAATAACTCACTGTGTGTGTGTTTGTATGTATGTTTCTGTGCATGCTAGGTGTATGCACACGCATATCTGCGTATGAAAGAAGCTGATTGGCACTGGGGATCTTCTTTGATTGGTCGTTACCTTATTTTTCAGAAAAGCGTTTATTACAGGTATTTGTTTTGTATGTTACATGTGTGGTCCCATGCCGACCAGAGCAAGCGAGTGAAGGTGAGAGAATGTCTACCGTGTGTGTCTGGAAGTCCTACCTCGGGTCTGTAGGTCTATGTTGAGTACCTTTACCTGCTGAGCTGTCTTGCTAGCTTGCCACCTTATTGTTTGAGACAGTTTTTCTCACTGAACCTGCGCTCACTGGTTTGGCTAGACTGACTGCCTCCCGGCTCTGGGGCTGTTGTCTGGGTATCCGGATGCAGACCTCACGTTCGTACAAGCACTCTACTCTCAAGAGCTAAGTTTAGGGAAGACATCTGGAGAGGAGGGATGCCTAGCTTTATTTAACTTTTTTTTTCCTAGTCTGGGGATGGCGCATCATACTTTGAGTATCCTACCACTGAGCCATGCTCTTAGCTTTTGATATGGTGTTAAATTATCTTGTAATCCATCTGTAGTTTGTGGTTAAGTTTCTACTGCAGGTATGTGTGTGTTTGTATATTATTCATGACCATGTGTGTATCTGTGCTGACAAAAATGAGGGCAATACAGCCACTATGCTGGGCAGTTTTTATTTCTAGTCCTACTAAATCACAGTGTTTGCATGGCCTGTGGGCGCTGTTAGCAGGCCTTGGTATCCCGTGTGTGTTTGTTTATAGACACGTCTGAAGGCCTCGGTATCCCGTGTGTTTGTTTATAGACAAGTCTGAGACCCACTCACCTGAGCAGCTTCTGTCCCCACTTAGAGCGGCATCTGTTGAGGATTCCTGTGGGGTATGCATAGGGGTGAACTTGTTACAAGGAGGCCTAGATACAGGACACAAAGGCAGCCAAGTTAGGGCCTGGCCACAAATTGCAGCCTGGATTATCACGGGAGGTTAGGAAAAGGGATGGATACTCAGCTAGGAAAACATACAAATGGACATAGCCACAGCTCACAAAGTCCAACACAATATGTAAAACTTAAACATAACGCAGTGAGAAACTGGACACTTGGAGCCGTGTCCTTAACTCACCCTAAAGCTTGAGGAACCAGATAAAAACTATACAAATCAGTTATACAACGCTCCTCTGTGAACAGAGCGGCATGCAGACAGAGCCGGAGACTGATTGGATAGGGCACAGCCGACATGCAGATTACACTACATGGCTAGGTATAAAGAAGCTCAGGCTGAGAGTGGGCACAGCGACCGAGACCTGGCTGGTTGGCTGTAAAGCAGGGAGAAGAGACTGTACACATCTCCATCAACTGCTTTTCTAGCAGGCTTTCCCAGCATGGGGTGAACTATAGGGCACACCTACCAAAGAGGCTGAGCCCTTCCTTCAGCCCGCTGGCTACTTTGTACACGGAGGGGTGAGACTCGCTCTTGAAGATCTGTAGAACGCTGTCACAGAGAAATGAGGACGTCTGGACAGCTGCGCATGTGTGTACATATTTATTTGTGTTTTTAAGACAAGGTCTCTCTATGTAGCCCCAGCTATCCTAGAACTCACTAGTACTTAGACTAGGCTGGCCTTGAACTAGTGGAAATCCCCCTTCCTCTGCCTTCCAGTGCTGGGATTAAGGATGGGCCACCACAGTTGCCTGTGTACACATATTTGTGTGCAAGTGTGCATGCTCTCACACACATGTGCAGAAGCCAGAGGACACGGGAGTGGCTGTCCTCTTTCTCTCTGTCTTGTTCTCTATTGAGGCAGGGCCTCTCATTGAACCTGGCTAAGACAGCAGCCAGAGATGCCGAGCGCTTACATAAAACTCAGACCTTCAAACCTGAGTAGCCAGAGCTTTCGCTCACTGAGCCAGGTTCCCACTGGCATGGTGACGATTTTTTTTTTTAAGTAACAAAAGGAGCTGGGAATTGAGAAACTGTAATTTAAGTTCATAATAATTTTTTTTTTGAGACAGGGTTTCTCTGTGTACTCTGTAGCCCTGGTTGTTCTAGAATTCACTATGTAGACCAGGCTGGCCTTGAACTTCCAGAAATCCTCCTGCCTCTGCCTGCCTCCTGAGTTCTGTGATTAAAGGCTCAAACCACCACCACTCGCAATAATAATCTTTTTTTTTTAAATATATGTAGCCCAGGCTGGCCTCGAACTCATGATCCTGCTGCCTCTGTCTCCTCCAGCAAATCGTATGGGCAGGAGGCACACACCACACCGGCAAGCAATAATAACCTTGATGTGAGGTTTATTACTCACTTTTGTGTTTGCCTCAGCCTCTCCCCTTAGGAAGAGAAAATGAAAGCCAGGCTTGGCAGCTCACACCTTTAACCCAGCACTTGGGAGGCAGAGGCAGGTAAGTCTCTGTGAGTTCGAGGCCAGCTTGGTCTACAGAGTGAGTTCCCGACAGCCGGGGCTGTGTCGAGACCCTGTCTGGAAGGAAAGAGAGGAAAGGACAGCCTGGAGTCATCACTTCAGGGAGCAGAAGGCTAGCCCTGCAGGCAGCACCCTCGGGTCCACCCCCAGCACTGAAGCCTTGAGCTTTAGTTCCTCCCTTCCCCCCCACCCCATCACCCTGTCCTTCTAGGAGAGAGATGTAACCGCCCCAGGATGAGAGAAACTAGAGCCTTCTTAGGATTATTAGAGCGTTAAGCTCAATCCTTTTGTTTCTGAAGGCAGTCTCCACCTCACCTGTAAGTGTCTTGATCTATGCTCACCAAATGGGTCCTGAGAACAGAAAAGAAGCGTTCATTACACGCTCTGCTCCCTTGGCTCCTCTGTCAGTACTGTCCAGTCTTCTCCCTGGTTCTCCCATGTGTCCTAGCATGGCTCCACTGTCCCCATCCCTCTCCCGTGTCTCCCGTGTCTCCACTGTCCCCATCCCTCTCCTATGTCCAGCACATGCCTCCCGCTCTTCCCCATCCCTGGCACCTGGCTTACTTCTTAGACCCCCAGTCCCTCTACTTTGGTTGAGGTTAGGGTGAATCACCTACAATACAAACTTCTTAAATCCCAGGATAGGGACGCTGACATTATAATCTTCCAGTTCGACCCCAACTCTTCTCCGACTCAGGAACTTGAGCAGTCCTCCAAGTGCCCGGACCTGGGAAGGGATCGGCAGCAGAGCTGGAATAAAGCCTAACGTTCCAGAAGCTGGATGACACCAATACCAAGAGAAACTGTCATTTTCCAGGGCTGAGGCAGTCCAGTCCAGAATGTGGCCTGGGACTGGGAGCCCATGCCTTCCCCAGCTGCTTCCCAGCCCTCACCCCAGTGACCCAGCTCACCGTGAGAACACAGTCAAAGGGGATAACGGAGGAGAGGAAAAGGGTTTTCTCAGTAGCAGTCATGGACTCTGGGATGAAGGAGTAGTTTCCAGAAAGGAGACGCTGTTTGCTTATCTCTGGACCTATGGGAGGGTAAGGGGCGAAAGGTCTGATAACTCACTTGCTCACCCCAGTTTAACAAGAACAGAAGCAACCTCCAGCTTGCCCAAGTCCACAGACGTGGTTAAGGAAAGCTTGAGCAAGAAGCAGACATGCAGACTTAGTCTGACTTTTCATCTTTGTGTAATACAGATGTCTGGCTATACGCACAGCCTGAGAGGGACAAGTGATGTCTGGGGCTGTACATTTTCTAGGTCAGAAAGATCTTATGATAAAGAAAAGAACAGTAAGTCCCGATATCTGGCAGGACAGAACATTCCCGTCCTGTTTGTAAGCTTGGAGTTTGCAGCGTCTTATGGGTCAGGATCCCAGAAACATTGGCTTTCCTTTCTATGCAATAATGACTTTGGCTTACAGTGGGAACTCCAAGCGGCTGAAAGTGTGGTCACTCCGTCCTAAGGCACCTAAGCCAGCGACTTCTCAGTAAGTTGGGTTATTAATGACAAAGTGCAGGAGAGATCCTGGGGACACGGTGACAGGCATGGGAAGTTGTTTGCAGGTAAGAACAGACAGGGGAGGTCTCTGATACTGGGGTGAGATTAAGGGAAGGGACAGGGGATGGGTCTGACAAGATAAAAGGACCTACCAAAATCCACGCTTGGCAAAAGTACGATTTCGGGTCTCTTTGGCTCTCTCTGCTCCTGGGAGGCTGTGGGGGCAAAGGGCCACGGTTCTGCACATGACAGTCCTGTTGATGTCCCATGCTCCCTCCCAGCCAATTTGGCCTCCCGATACTCTACATTCCAATAGTCCTTTCCACTTCCCGTCTTTATGCGGGCGGCCCTTACCAAGCTTCCCCAGAAACCGAGCCATAGTCTCATCTTGTTTGGCACTTGTAATGACAGACTGGGGGTTGATTTCATCCAGAACTTGAAAAGAGAAGGGATCAACTGAGTCAGAGGAAAAGGGAAGCTCTCTTCTTGACACTGTTCCCCTCAGGAATTTATTTTCTCCACCAGGCATGGTGGCGCATGCCTTTGATCCTAGCACTGGGCAGGCAAGCCAGTCTCTGAGTTCGAGATCAGCCTGGTCTATCTACATAGTGGGTTCCAGGAATACAATATAAGACCCTGTCTCAAAAAACCAAAACCAAAATAAAAGAATTTATTTTCTGTCTGTTAGGGAGTGCTCTGCACACTGGGAGCATAGTCTGGAATGAGATTTAGTGCAGTAGTAATACTCCAGGGGTGGAGGAAGGGACGTGGGAGTGTCCTGGAAACAACCACTAGACTAGTCATGAGTTTGCCGGGGACTGAGTCTACAGCATTTAACACACAGCAAGAACCTAATAAAGTTGCATTGAATACTTCATTCTCCCAAACTGATGACTATAAAGTAGATTAAGGTCACATAAGGACGTATGAGTGAACACGCTCCCAACCCCAGAGCAGAGGAATGAAGGGTTCTGTCCCCACCTCTCTGGAGAAGCTTCAGGCTCTCGTGGTCTGGGGCATCCGGCATGAAGTGGACAGTGGAGTCACTAGTATCATAGTAAGCAATGCCCAGATAGCCCGAACTCCACAGCACGCACAGGTGGATCTGCCCCGCGAGGAGAGGAGATCAGTATCTGAACCCCGGGGAGGGCAGGCTTCCCGTCCTCCCAGCCCGCCCCTCCGACACCTCGGCCGGCTCCTCGTCCTCCTCCTCTTCCTCGAGACCTCGAGGCCCCGGCATTGGGGCCTGCGGGCTGGGGAAGCTGGCCGAGGGCATCCCGGGTGCGGGGCCCGGCGGCGTCCGGCCAGGGGTGGCTCTGAAAGCCATGGGCTCGGCGACGCTGAGGACCTGGGATGAGGGGAGCTTCAGAGGCGACGTTTCCCCGGGTGGCCGGGTGGGGACACTCGGAGGCCACCCTTTGGAAGGTCTGCAGGCGCGAGCTGTCACTGTCAAATCTCCGCTTCCGCCCCCCACAGGGCCGCCCACTCGCGGCGTTTTCCCGCCTTTTTCGTCGCCTCAGTCGCTACAATCTACCTCACTGACCAACGGCCGCCAGCGCGGGGAAGGGCGAGCCCGTCTGCGGGCGGGGGGCGGAGCCGCGCTCGCCCCGCCCCCTCTTCGCCGCTACTGGCTGGAGGTGCCTGCCTAGCTATCCAATAGGAAGAGAGGGCGTACGCTGCAGCGCGGGAGGGAAGAGTCTAAGCGCTGATTGGTCTGTTTACAGCGGGGGCGGTGCCGGCGTGTTCAAAATTCCCGCCTCTGCCGTTGCTAAGCAGCCGGGCTTTGATTGATGCTGGGCGGAGCCCGCCAGAAGGTCGCTGGGCCAGCCCGGAAAAAGGGTCTGGGCGGTGGGGAGGGCTGGGGCGGGAAGGCCGACCTTAAAGGGCCAGAAGCGGGGCTCCCCCTCCCTGGAGAGGGGAGGGAGGCGGCGTTAACTCCGGCCAAGCCAGCAGCCACAACTCTGTTAATATTTGTACCCACTAAGTTAATATTTATAAAGAACTCGGAACGCTGTCTAGCCAACAAAGGAAGCGCTACATGAGTGTTTTAAATAAATAAGCGGAAGTAAGAACCAGCTCTCACTTCAGCCAGACTTCGCCTGAATGCACCCTGAATGCAAGGGATGACCACCCCCGCGAGAGCACCACAGGGCCTGATTATTTCTGGACCTCCGAAGAGGAAGTGCAAGTGTCTGAATGCACTTCACCCTGAAAGCAGAGCTAGTTACATCACACACACCTTTATCGGTTGGCGCCCTTACCACAGCCCACTCACCCCTAAGGAGACTGGGCATCATGATTCCTCCATGATAGGGCTGCATGGAAAGGAAGGAAGCCTTCAAGGATGGCTCATGGGGAAGATCGCCTTAAGCTCCAGCCCCAGGACTCCCAAATTGTCCTCTGACCTCCACACCTGCGGCTTGTGCCCTTGCACACACACACAATATAAGTACATAATTTAAAAACTGTCCCAGCTATCCTGCCTAACGTCCAGAGAGATGGTGTGAGGTGACCTGGCTCTGCCGGTCAGTGACTGGAAAATCCTCTCCACGGGGATGGTGGGAGCAGAGTTAAGGCTGGGTTAATGGTTACCCATGGCAAACTGTTGTGGAGTGGAGCTATAGAAACCTCGAGGAGGTTGGAGACAGCTCTGAGGAGTGGCAGGGAGGGACACGCCTTCCAATCTGGGGTGTGAAGAGATTAGGGACTGAACTGGCTACCAAGACCAGGAAGGCATTGGACACAGAAAGAGAAGCTGGTGAAAGAGAGAAAAGGGGCACAGAGATGACATGGGAGCGGAAATATTTCTGCTGCAGTCCTGGCTTCGGATCCAGGAAGCACCCCTGGGAGGTCCTAGGAGAGGGCAGCCTGAAAATTAAGGCAAGCTAACTTGAGGGTAGCAATCCGGGCAGCCACAGTCAATACTGGTGATCAGGGCAGCTGTGGCTGTAAAGGCAGGGGCCGGGCAAGGCTGTCAAACCTGTTTGAGACTAACTATAGCTTCGCCCGCCCGTGGAGAGCTCTGCTGGGCCGATGCCTGGTGGTCACTGATCAAGTGGGGAAAAGGGAAGAGTCTGAGACAGAAGGCTTCTCTGAAACCACCTTTCCCAGTCCCTGTGCGGATTCCGAGGGTCAACATGATGGAAATGCCAGTATATTTTATCTAAGGCCCAAATACTAAGTATCTTCTGCCTTTCTGGGAGGGGGGGTGAGAAATGCCTGCCTTCTCTGGGGAGGAGAAAGCCCCTGAGAGGAAGCTAGGGGAAGCCACTAACTGCTGGTTTCCAGCAACACATGCCCCTCTCACCCCCGCCCTCCAGCCTCTTTCAGCGTCCAGCCCAGTTTTGCTTCTAGGTCTTTCCGCGTCCAGCATGCTTTTCTCCAAATGGAGATCTTTTTTGAGCAGAATGTGAGTAGAAAAGAAAAAGGATGACTGGACAGTAGAAACTCAGAGCAGAGAGGCTGGTATATTGGCAGACATAGTTTAGATTTTTTTTAATAGATAGTAAAGTTAGATAGCAGCTCCGAAATCGAGCCCGTCAGTTACTTTTCTTCTCCCTACGTTACATAGATAACACTAAGTAACGCCACTCACGCTGGTCTGTCTGACCTTTGCTTTCTCTGATAGAACAAGCCGATACCCCACCCATCCCAGGATGAGCCAGTGTTATCCCAGTGCCAGGACAACCCCGTCTCCAAGGCAACCCTTACCAGTGAGAGGAGGGTAAGGGGCCCGGGATGGGGAAGTCTAAGCATTGACAGGCATCCAGAGGACCGCCCCCTGCGGCGAAGCCTGGGCTCAGCTTCCTGTTTCCCTCGAGTTGGGCCTCTCGCTGGGTCTCTCCCAGCCCACGCCTTTCACCAACCCACATTCCCAACCTCAGTATCTTTTTCCATATCACACAGGCATGCACACGCGTGCACACACAGGGCAGAGTCCTAGCAAACCCAAAGACAGGCTGGAACTAAAAAGAACTCCCTTACATCCTCCATCCTCAAACCCCATTTCTGCACCTTCGTGGGCAGTTCGACAGTGTCAAGGTTCCCTGTGGGACAGCGGGCCACCCTTCTCATTAATGAAGCGAGGAAACTGAGGCACAAAAAAGGTGCAGTGTTCTGGAGAGGTCAGAAAATCAAGGCCACCCCCCCTCCCTCCTAACACCCTGCCTTTTCCCGGTGGTCCTGGAGGCCTATGTCTATGTCCCCGACACACTCCCACGACCTTCAAGTCCACCCTCTCCTGCCCCGACCCACTCCCACGACTTTTGAGTCTTCCCTCTCCTGTCCCAGACCCACTCCCACGACTTTTGAGTCTTCCCTCTCCTGTCCCAGACCCACTTCCACGACCCTCGAGTCCCTCCATCTCGTGTCCTCGACCCACTCCCACGACCTTCGAGTCCTCCCTCTCCTGTCCCCGACCCACTCCCACGACCTTCGAGTCCTCCCTCTCCTGTCCCCGACCCACTCCCACGACCTTCGAGTCCTCCCTCTCCTGCCCCCCGACCCACTCCCACGACCCTCGAGTCCTCCCTCTCCTGCCCCCCGACTCACTCCCACGACCCTCGAGTCCTCCCTCTCCTGCCCCCCGACCCACTCCCACGACCCTCGAGTCCTTCCCCCTCCTGTTCCCGACCCACTCCCACGATCTTCGAGTCCCTCCCTACCCGGTCCCCTCCCCAGGCTCAGGGCGGGGCCGGCCGGTGAGTCAGCTGCTCCCTGAGCTAAACGGGAGGGACCCGAGGTGGTTAGAAGCTGGGTGTGGGGTGCACCGGGCCGGTGGGAAGCCGTGTCGGAGCGAAGGAAAGGGTCTGATCGGACTGGGGTTGCGCCGAAGGGACAGGATCCCCGACTGGTGAGACCCGCCCTCCCTGGTCCCGGCCCCTCCCAGTTCCCCCAGCGACGGCTGCTTCCTGGTCCCCGACGCAACCATGGCCGAAGAACAACCTCAGGTCGAACTGTTCGTGAAGGTAAGAGCACCTCTTTCTTTGGCGACCCTCAGAATTTCTGCAAGCCAGTCCTCCCCTTTCCTTAGCTCCATCTCTCATGCCCCAACCCCTTTCCTCGCTGACCCCACCCCCATACCCGGTGCTATCTGGCTGGGTTGCTGGGGGAGGGGGTGACTTGTGAGACAGTAATGAGAGTTCTGGACTCGCCCTGAAAAGTTTGTAGAAGAGGTTTCCAGCAGCCCAAAGGGGAGAAAGTGGAGAAAAGGGGGTTTTCAGGAGTGAGAGAGTGGGCGGGGTATGGTGTGGGGTCCAGGGGTCCAGACGACCTAAGGACCGAGAAAGGGACAGTGGCCGGGTTTGAGAAGGTCAGAGGAGAATTGGCTAGGACATGTGGCCCTAAGAAAGAAAGATAGGGCACACACACACAGAGAGAGAATGAGAGAGAGAGAGAGAGACAGACAGAGAGAGACAGACAGAGAGAGACAGACAGAGAGAGACAGAGGGAGAGAGAGAGAGAGAGAGAGAGAGAGAGAGAGAGAGAGAGAGACAGAGAGAGAGAGAGAGAGAGAGAGAGAGAGAGAGAGAGAGAGAGAGAGAGAGAGAGAGAGAGAGAGAGAGAGAGAGAGACTGGTAAGACGGAAAGGCGCTCACAGGAAGCAGCACCCTTGGGCTGAGGGAAGCCAGAGAAGGCAGGAAGAACATCAAAGTTTAGTAATCGTTACTGATGAAGATGGGGCCAGGAGACCCCCTGGATTGGGTGAAAATGCCGGGCTGATGGGTGTGGAAGAAAAAGCACCCCTCCCTCTGTGGGTGTGGTCAAGGAGAAACGGGTCTCGCTTTTGGGTTGGGAAACCAAACCGCTGGCTGCAGCCCTCCTCGCCCACTCGGGCCTGTGCCCTCCAGCACCTGCCCCTCCCCGTCCCTGTGTGTGCCTCCTCCCCACCTTCCGCTTCTGGGGCCTTCCTTTTCACCACTTCCCCCCATCTTGTTCATCTTGTCGGTGTGTCTTGCCTGTGTGTCAGTTGTATCCTGCCTATGTGTTGGTGTGTGTTCTGTCTGTTTCTCCTTTTCATTGGGGTTTCCCGGGCAGCGGTCCCACTTTCTTGGCCCGGGGAAGTCAACTGAAGCCTAGGCCCGCCCCTTAGGTGTGGTCCCCTCCTCACACTCGCCTCCAGGGGCTATTTTTACTCCTGGGTGTAGTGATGCTGTAGAGATTCTGGCCCTACGGCCTGTGAGGGGACCTTGGAGAACCAGAGCCACGAATTAGGTGGGCCAGCAGAGAGAATGAAGGCTTGGGAAACTATAAGGTTGGCCCCAGCTGCCTCGGCCTCTCTGTATAGGTCCCTGCCCCCACTTCCTTGCCAGGAAGGAAGCTGCAGAGGCCTGAAGACACAGAGATGAATCACCCTCAGTCTAGGGGGGAGGTGTCCCTTGGGGGATGAGGTCACCTGCATCCAATTAGAGAGTGCCCCCTTTGCTAGGCCCTCCATATCTCTCAGGTGAGGTCTAGGTCCTCTTGAGTGCCCGCCCAGCTTCCTGAAACAGCTTGGATAGAGGTTCAGTGAATGGGGACCCTGGTTTCTCAAAGCTTGTCACGATTTAACTGTTCCTCTCTGCCTCCCACCTGCCCATCACTGGG